CCAAAGTGCTGGGATTTCAGGCATGAGACCCTGAGCCCAGCTGAATGAGCAAGATTTTTATAGCTCTACTTTCACAAAAATACATCATCATGTATGGTTAAAGAAGTACTTGCAATCAATATTTATCATACATAATAAGAATCTTATGAGTAGAGAAGAACCAAAAAGACTGAATCTGAATCCTTCCAATCATTATAATACCTAACACAGTGAATTATTTCCATGCTATGGATGTAGAAGAAACTAAGCACAACTAAAGTGTCTTTCCTGTCTCAATTGCCATGTTTTGCATAAAATCCTATCCATTGAACTCTAAAAGATCCACCAATTCAAGAGGGAAAAAAAAATTACCCTATTTACCAACCCATTTCACTAGAATTCTGGGATCACACAGCAAACAGGGCATAAATCTCAGCTCAAGGGTAATTTCTTCTAAAAAGGTTTCCCAACACGGATCATCCTCTAACTAAGCACAAGCCTGTGACAGTGCTAGCATGTAATTGGGTTTACTATATACCCGTCCACTCTGTCTTTTATTCATGTAATGGCATCTTGTTCTTTACTAGGCATGTATTTAATGCTCTGCATCAATGAAATTCAACAAATATATGCCCCTGATGCTGCACATAGCTTACTTTGTGAATTTTCTTTGCTGAATTTATAAGACATTTGTTATTTCTCTGATGAAGTTAGTTATTTTTCACTGTAATCTTAAGCACATCTAAAGAAAGAAAAAGATGTCATGAAATAAACTAAGAAACCAAGTTGAACTATATTTTACCAACTTATAAGGCTACAAATTCTAAACAACCACTGATTCAGGGAGGGACCACATCAGCATCCCAGAATCTACCTACTAGCATACAAGACAATTCTGACCCTGCCCCAGTTCCATTCTCCTGAGGTCTCATTCTCACTGAGTCATCAGGCCTGCTGCATGCCTGGCTACGGCTAACCACTTAAGAACATATCACCTAGCTATCAACAACACATCATTTTACATGCCAAAATTATTTTGAGGATTTTCTATCTCAATACTGCTCTCCATTATAGTATAAAATTGAGAATATGCCTATATAAACTATTTACTTAAAGCAGTTAATTATATATTGATTCTATAAACTTTCACTTAAATGTTTCTAAATGTAATTTGAATAACAAATTGTGATTTATAAATTCAGAACAACTAAGACTTCAAACTAAGCCAGTAAAAAGACAAAAATTTCCATTTTCCTGCATATTTATAAACTATAAACTTAATAGTTTGTATTTTCACATGGATTATAATGTTGTATATGTTACTATATTTCCTTACCAACTACAAATTGTAAATAAGAATAAGTAGTAAAGAAAAACCTTGTTTTAGATACAAACAGCCAAGCTATTAGAATAACTACTATTCTATGCTTTTATATATCTTATGATTTTAACTACAACACCAAGACCACAAGATCTGACTTCAAATCCTGACTCTATTGCTTGTGCTAGTGGGCAATTTATTAATCTTTTGAGACCTTAATTTAATTATGTATAAGAATGAGAATTCGACCAACCCTATTCAGACAGGTATAAAGAATTAAATAATAATGCAAAATGTCTAGGACAGTCAACAGAATATATTCAGTAAGTCTTCCCAAACTTTGGGACTAAATTCCAGGTCTCCAAAATCCTCAAAAACTTTATTCACTATGCATACAGACTTGTTTAAGTCTCATAAAATAGCATAAATATACTATATTAATGTAAATTATGTATAGGCACACAAAATGTAACTGTATTTTATAATATACTATATGTAAACTGGTCTCTGTGAGGTTAATATTCTATAACACAGTCCGTATTTTGTAATACAAATTTTTCCTTATTTTGGAATTTTGCAGGACTCAGAAAAACAGGGTTAAAGTGGTACTGGATAATTTGTAGCCCTTTTAAAACAAAATAACCTCTCCCAGAAAACCTAAAATTTTTATCTTCTTTTTCTTCTCATATATTTCCTTAGAGCAAGCAGAGGCATTTGAAATCAATTACTGCTCCTTCTTTTCAAAACAGAGTCTAAAATATGAGAATATACTGCCAGTGACTATGTGGAAAGTTTAAAGAGAGACCAGTCTCCTACATCTTGTCTTCTCATTCTGTTTGCTCTCGTCCACAAGCATCATTAGGTACAAAATTAAAGGGGTTTATGTATCAAAGGAAGGAGGAGGTAACATATTGCTTTGCTTAAGTGACAATGGAGGTGTTTACAGACTGATATGAATACCAGTGCTGTAGCTTCTGTTTGTTTTAAAAGAAACCAGCTGATTATTTTGCCATCTCTCCTTTTTCTGAATTAGTTAGTGCCCATGTGGATCTGATGTAGATCCCAAGAATGAAGAGATAATAACAGAAGTGAGTGAAGTATATATAGGTAGAAAGCAATGAGTTGGGAAGCATTAAAAGTAAACACTGCCTGGGTAAGATTTTCTCAATTTCAAATTTGCAAGTGGTATCACTAAAATAATAGCATCTTTAATTTTATTATAAGCCAACCATAGATCAATGAAAACTCAATTTTATAATTTTTTCCGCATATTCAATGTCAGAAAAATTGTGTAGTATTTATGTGACTTTTATGGTACTTTAGCAGATGGGCCAATAAAAAAATTTAATAGGGAGTAACAGAGGGCACAACCTAAATTTTATTTAATACATTCATAAAATGATTTTACATGTGAATTTAAGTAACTGACGGAAACCAGAGCTTATGCTATCTAGACTTAGGTATACATGTATAAATTTCCACCCTTGAGATAGGAAATCTTCTTAATTCTCATAATTCACACTTTAAAAATTTAATAATATCTATCAGTCTCTTGAGACAAATTTAAGAAAACTGTAGACTAATAATTCTCTGACACTTAGATGACATTACTATGTAACATTTCAAAAACACCTCATGGGATATACTTTCACAAGTCACCACAGACATAAGATGCCTGGCAAGTTAATTTTTTTTGGCTTTTACCCTATTTTTCTTCTCAAAGGCTCATTTAATAATTATGTATACTATATTTCTTACTAAAGTTAAACAATCAGAAAATTTTAAATGAGGCATTTAAAACCTCCTTACTCAAGAGGATTTCAGTTTATAGTACATAGGCCCATCAAATAGTAAATATTACAATAAAAAGCAGGCATGGTATAATTTCAGAATCAACAGTCTACCCAAAATAAGATAGGTAACAATTTTAAACCCACACAAATGGGGAGTTATTTCACCACAGACCAATAAAAACACAGGCTAATATCATCTAGCATTCAGGGACAATAATTCTTTCATTTTATAAATAAAAAATCTGGGAATCTGAGACAATGTCTTAACCTAGATTACCAAGCTTATCACTGACATGGCTAGAACTAGAATCAAAGTCTTCTTTCCACCCCGCCAGGTCACCTGTTAAAGTCTAGCTAAACATATTGCCCCAAATTGAGAATAATGCCGTCTTAGTTCATTTGGTGTTGCTATAACAAAATACCTGAGGCTGGGTAGCTCATAAAGAAAAAGAGTTTATTTAGCTCACAGGTATGTAGGCTGGGAAATTCAAGGGGCATGGCACTGTCATCTACCCGGCTTCTGATATGGGCTTTCTCCTGCTGTGTCTTAACATGGCAGAAGGTCAAAGACAAAGAGACAGTTCAAAGAGGCCAAACACAAAGGGCATCCTCACCTTACAACAACCTATTCACCTTACATCAACCTTAGGAACCAAACCATTCCCACCAGAATTAATCCAGTCTCCCAAGTCACTGGTACATCATTTTGGAAAAGTAATTTGGTTATCTTTATCACTTACTTAACAAATATTTATTGAATAGCCAATCTTTACCAAGTACTATTCTAGATTCTGGAAACATGGCAATGAAAAAGACCAACAAGGCTTCTACCGTTACATCCTAATGTGAGAAGACAGAAAATAAGCAAGAAAACAAATATCATTTCAGAGAGTGATAAGGATATTAAAAAGGAAATAAAACTGGGTGATATGAAGGAAGCAAACTAGAAGAGAAACTACATTTTGTCAGTGTCCAGGAAGCCACCTCTAAAAAAATATGCCAGTTGAACACTGAGCTGAAAAAAGGGCAGCCATAATGAGCTAGACAAACATTCCAGACAGGCAAAACAAAAGAGCAAAAGTCCTGAGCTGGGACCAGGTCAAAACATTCAAGGAATAGAAAAGAAGGCAAATATGCATGGAGCAGACAAAACAAGTATATGACAAACTGATTGTGTACTACAGGGGCCCAGGCACATACTCTTTAACCTAGCAACACCACTTCTAGGACTCTATCCAACAACAGTAATGGTTTAAGTATGTGTAAAACTATGCACAGATGAATGTTAGTGCTAGGTAGTTTGTAAAACAACTGAAAAAACTAAATGTTGATTATTTGGAGAATGTTATATAGATTATGTTATAACATATACTATACAGTAAAAGAGTTAGAGAATATATGCACTGACCTGGAAAGATGCCCTAGAGATATTATGTGAAAAATCAAGTAGACTAATATATATAACATGATTCCATTTTTTTTTAAATGAGACTTATTAACTACTGTATTACAAGGTTTAACCCCTGAGTCTGGTCCAGGATAAATACCACTTTGCTTCCTCCCGCTCCAAGCAAATGTCCTCTTTCATTATATGCTCCTACCTTTCTCTAATTCATTCCCTGAGAGCATTTTGGCTTACTTTAGTCAACTGCTTATTTCTTTTCCTGGGAACATGAATAGCATCAAAAAAATTTTAAGAGCACAGAGAAAAACATTTCCTTACAAATTAAGAACGTATTAGGCTCTAAATAACTTTACAATGACTGAATCAGCTCTAAAGATTTTAGAGTAGTTATATGGCATCATAAACTTGATTTAAAAATAAAAAAACACATTATGAGCAATTAAAACTAAATATTCAGTTGGTTATTATACTAGCAAGGATGAAAATTATGAATTATTCTTACCTCTACTTTTGTTCGATAGAGAACAAGTCGTTTAAGGCTGCATAACTTGGCAATGTGGTTGAAAGCTTGAGGTGGTAGCTTATCACAGGAGGAGAGATTTAAGGCCTGTAGATTTGGACACATCTCAGAAATAACTTCTAAACAAGTTTCATTAAGAAAGTGGCTGCAAGACAATTCAAGTCGTACTAATTCAGATCCACAAACCTTCAGAAACCTGCAAAAAATAACATTCCATGTAAATTTTATAAAACTAAAATATATTTTTGCAAGAACTTTGGAATTTTAGCAACTCTAAGAAAACACATTTAAAAGAATAGATTTCTACTAGGGAAAATAAAAAATTTGTTTTGCTTAAATTCTTATTCACTGCATACTGAAATATGAATGGTTAGGCTAAAATAATCAACTTGAAAGGATAAAATGAATTCACACCAGAGAAAAGTCAGCTAAATAATGTTAAATGTTTAATAGATTATGTTATAACATATACTATACAGTAAAAGAGTTAGATAATATATGCACTGACCTGGAAAGATGCCCTAGAGATATTACTACGAAAAAGAAAGTAGACTAATATATATGACACCATTCCATTTTGTAGAAAATTAAGAAAGTAGATGTGTTTTTCCTACTTACTTTTAATTCACATCTAAGCTGGTAAAGCCAAAAAGAAAAAAAAATGCAAAACATAAAAAAACTCTAAACTCTGGAAGATATTTCCCCCTCAACAGTACCTATCCAGTACTGGATAATATATTTTGAACACTGTACACAAAAGTGCAAAAGTGGCAACTTTAATTAAATAACCTCAAAACAAATCAGACTAGACTCCTCTCAACTCAGAAAATATCTAAGTGGGTTTAACTACAACACTGTTAGGATATGGTCCTTGCAGCTGTTACTATTTAGCAGCTGGACTGCTTGATGTTGAAATTATCACAAAATATTCAATTGCAGCTTCACAGAAAATATATAAAAATAATCCAAGGTGAAGGTCACAAAATGCTTTATCAGAGTAGTTATCACAATATTTATCTCAGTTATATTACAGTTGGAAAAATAGTCCTGTCCATGATCATCCTCTGAAAACAATCTAAAAGTAAACATGAATGTAGGAGTATTTGAATCCATGAAACTTTATCAGCTAACCCTCTTAACAGTGCACCAATTATGCCTGTCCAGGTCTCTTGACATAATCTTCCAACCGGTGTCACATCAGTAATATACTGTTAAGTCAATTTATGTCACATCTTTTTTTCTAAATGATTTAATGAGCTTACAAGTATACATACAAAATAAAATTGACTAAATTAGATTACTTGTGTAAATAAAGAAAGTAACACTGGTCAAAAGACGGTTTTTTTGCATTGTTGCAGTAGTTCCTAGCAGAGACCTTGGAAAGGGCATTTACTCAAGTCTTAGCATTTCCTCAGCTTTAAATGCAGACTTGAAGTATGTAATAACATTTACCACACTGCCTCATGGGTCAGAAACTGAAATACTATGTAAATGCAGTTTTTAAAGGTCAAAGCGCCCCACAAACATTAAGTATAAGTTAAATCTTGGCCAATTCACATTTAAACAACAAAAAAATTCAGTTGCTGCAAATTTAAATATTGTAAATAACTCAGTAGCCCACACGTCTTATTTACACCTGAACACCAATTTATTCTAAATCCAAACTTGAATTATTTGATTTGTGACATTTCATACAACTGCACACTCCTTCCTTAAAACTCTGACACTCCTCACGTAACTCCCTCTTGGATCTCCTCCAACCTCTCTCGCTACTGCTTCCTTTGCTAGCTGTATTAGCTAAACTGCAGTCCGCATGAAGCACATTCATGCATTCTTTTATTCAGCAAACATGCACTGAGCTTTGGCTATCATCCAGGCCATGGTCTAGGCACTGGGGAGACAGCAGTGGACAAAACAAAATCCCTGCTCTCCTGAATCTTACTTTGGTTTTGAAGAGAGAAGAGGATGATAACCAAATGAGAAAAGTAAACAGCAAATGTGTGTAAAGTGCCCAGGAGAAAATAAAAGCAGGGAAGAGCAATAGAAAGTGTCAGAGATGGACAGAGTAGTCAGAGAAGCTTCAGAGAGGTGTTGAGTAAAACCCTGAAGGAAGCGAGAGGGTGAGCAAAGCAGATATCTGAGCATTCTGTGCAAAGGGAAGGGCAGTCCAGGGCAGGATAACAAACACAGTGAAGAACAGTGAGATGGGGAATGCAAGAGGCACAAAATAATGGGGAGATGAGTAGATCAGAGAGGTGAGGGACAGTTCATGTAGTATGTATCACTATAAAGACTGGCTTTATATCAGAAAGCAAAGTTAACAAACAACAGGAACTTTCCAAGTTGATTTAATGAATGGTAGTATTTGAAAACACAGTAAGATAATGACTATACCTATACTACTTTTCTGACTTTCTCTCTCTCTCTCTCTCGAGAATCCCATATTGCATATTTTCACTCTGAGCAGCTTATTTAATATCCTCATATTACTGCTACTTAAATTTTCAAAAGGTATACTACATACCTTTTCATATCTACATCCCAAGAGGGCAGAGACAGACTCAATTAGCTGAATACAGCTCTCGGTTCTTTCCTTAATGCTCCTTATGTAGGTTTTATTTTAATGCATAATTACATATATATATTTATTCACCTCAGCTATGCCACTGATCATATGAAAGGAGAACTCAGCTTGCTTATTTCCTGCAGTCAATTCATACATTGTGAAAGCTCATAAAGTATTTTTTTATACTAAAGGTTTTATGAGAGGACCTAAGTTCAGATAAACAATCCCAAACTAGGTCTCCTGCTATGAGAAAAGAAATCTCTGAAGAGAAAAATAAATTGCTTATCATTATGAGGTGAATGAATTTGTCCAGAATAATACAAGTACATCAGAAGTAATTTACTCGATGGTAACTTGCACCATAAAATAATTAAGATCACATGAATGAATGATTTAATTTGAGCTTATGTATCACAAAATAAAGGGTACTAATCCTCGCAACTTGCCTGAAGTATAAAAGGTAAGAGAAGAATTAGATATAAATATCTATAACTTCCAATACCTAATCTCATGGTTTTTTAGCTGACCCTCATAGAGTTTTCTAAAACAAAATATTTAAGATAATTTTAAATCCAAATAACTTGGAATATCATTTTAATATAGCTGATCCAAAATAAAACCACTAAAAACAAAACTTCCAGCTTAAACTGTGTATGGGTACTATCAAGCAATGATAGAAACAAGGGAAATCTTAAACTGGTTTCTACTTTCTAGAGTTGACAATCTAAGTCACAATGGTATAAAATATAGGCAGGCAACTGAATAAATATATTAGTGAGAAATAAGCTCTTTATACCATAAAACTAGGGTGCTATGTCAAAATAGCTAATAAAGTTCTTTAATCTAGAAAGCATCCAAGATGTTTCCCAAAGGAGTGAATATAAACTACTGAGAACCAGTAACAGGAGTTTAGGGTAAAAACCCACACACAACTGAGGGGGAGATCAAGGCGATTCAGCAACTATTTGAAGGAAAATGGCAGAAAAAAAAAATGAACCTAAGGCTTTTTGAACAGAATGATACCATTAAGTTCTAAAGCACAAACAGGCAGGGAGGCAAAGGAACATCTAAGACTTCAGGGAACCATATTAGAAAAGTGGAATTATAATAGATGTGATTTTAATGAGTAATGATATGCATGACAGTACTCAAAGTAGCAAATCACAAATCTGTAGCTAGAACAGGATTTTAATAACTGATAAAGAGTTTTAAGTTCTCTTTATTCCAATGTAACCTATTTCTCTGCTATTCTGAATAATAAAAATTACTAGAAAGTTCTTTAAAATCCATTTAAACAGTTCTAACTTGTGAGATAATGCTTTTAAGCAACAAAAATAAACTGCATCAAACTTTTTCCCAAAGATGTGTTCAAAAAGCAGCTCATCAACATTGGTATCTGGTTTTCAAATGTGCTTTTCTTCTTTAAAGTATTATAAATAAGTCTTTTTCATAGTAATGAGCATAAACAGACCATACTTATTCACAGATTATTCATTAATAATCAAGCCATGCATATTTATTGTTTATTCTGGGAATGCTGCCTACAAGCCATAATAACGATCAATTCAGCAGTCAAGTCATGAAGCCCAAAAGTAATCAGTAGGCAAAACTCCAATATGCCCCACCCAAGAAAAGGTTCTGTCTCCCTGTTACTGCAATTTTTTCTTTTCTTAATGGGAATAGTGACTACACTTAAAGAAATGCCATCAAGTTGTATGATTTGACTGGCTGAAATACTACAGTAAAATATGAGAACTTAAACTTATGTATGCCTTTTTCTGATTATTCAAACAGCTCTACAGCAACTACCCTGGGTGAATTGAAAATGGAAGATAAACTGTGGGTTACAAAGTAGATAGAAACTCTAACTTTTCAAAAAATCTTTATCCATTACTAGTCTAAAAATTTTTTAAATAGCACAGCTAAATTTCCTTTTTACAAGTGATGTTTCTTCTTATGCGCCAGAAGAAGCTATATAAAGAAAGTTTTAAAAATTGATTTAATATTAGCTTTGCGTTTGACTCGTTATTATCACGGTCACATGCAGCACTTTGCCAGCGAAGCTGGACTTCAGCCATTCACAGCCAATGTTTCCTTTAACCACTGTCACATTAGTGACTACCCTGTTATTCTGTTTATAAAAACATATAACGGATATGTTTATCTTAATATCTCTGTCTTCTCTGCAGCCTGAAGGCAGGAACTATATTATATACATCATATGTCTCTTTATGTGATCAACAACACCTACTACAATGCCTTGTACACAAAGGGTGAAAACATTTAATAAATTCTTGCTAGTGGAAAACACTGGGAAAGAGGTATGAGGGTGAATAAAATACCCTAAAGGTTTATATCATGTAAAATAATGCTCACTGACACCACTTGTTCTATCTGCTCTCATATTCAGTTAGTCTTGGTTTATGATAATGTCTGCACTAAATATTCACAGCCTTCATTAGCTTCAGTTCTTTCTCGGTCCTATTAGCAAAGAAACGAATTTGAAATGTGTGCATTTGGGACAAGGGGAAGTGGAAAGGACTAAACCGTGTTTCAGTAGACAGCTGCCAAATATCTAGCAACAAACCCCTTCTCCTGGTTCAGTTTCTGGCAGAAGAGAAACTCAGTGCATCCATGGTTTCAACACCTGTTACTAGCCATTACTCCCTGGTTTATTTTTCACTTTGATGCATAAACTATCAAGGTTAGTATTTTGAACACATAGTTACTATTTCAAACATCATGACTTCATTTAAATCTAATGATATCAAATCTTTATTTCTGGAACTGCATCTTTATTTTTATCATCTCAGTTAAGAGGAAACAAGGCTCCACATACAAATTTCTAATTCATAAACCACTGTTCGAGAACACATTCACTAGGGATACATGCAGGGATTGCTATAGTTCATTTTTCATTTTTAAAAATAGAATACAGGATTATTCATTAATTAAAAATAACAGAAAATTTCTCTAAAGTTTCTATGCTTTCATCATTTCATGTCATGAAAACACAGGGATTATATGTAACACACAATGAGAAAAACCATGATCAAGGTTAAGAGAAAAACACCTGTTTGTATCATAAGAAAAATTACTATGGCATTGCTAAATGAATATGCACTTGTGCAAGCTTTCAAATGCTTAACAGGTGACATTTAATAGTACGGAAACTAAATGCTTAAATAGAAAGGAGCAGAAACACCTGGGCAGGTCTGCAAGTGTGGTCGTCTATTTAGCATGCAATTGCATTTTCAACATAATTAGTTTAAATGAGCTTCTAAATCTGGGTGATGTATTGCACATGTAATTAAGATTTAATTAAAAATGTTCTATAATAAATTGTTTTCCATTTCTGACAAATCACATTAGAGAGGTAGATTTTGATTTGGAAATAGTTTTTAAAATGTGTTAATCATCTGTGCCGAAAATATGAGAGAAGAAACGAGAGCTGTTTAAAGTTACTTGGGATTTAAAAAACATGAAGTAAAGGGTGTAGTTTTCCTTCATATTAATATCAAATTTAGCTGAAGAGGATGGTAAAACACTCATTTTTTATAATCAGCAGCATTCTAAATATGATGACACACAAAATGCATTTCCTTTTTATTTCTGTAAGGTACATATTATATAATTTCAAATTTTTATTATGAAAACCACTACATAGTAAGTATAGCCTGCTGCTGGGGGGTGGGGGGGGGACAAAAACAAAAAACTTCATCAAGGCTTTGCACTAACCTGCTAAATCCTGTAACAGAGATGAAGCCTCTATTGCCAGTCCAAGATAAATTAAGCCACTGGACCAGAGTGCATCGAGCCTGGAGAAATTCCAGAGAGCTGTCATTTAGTTTTGCCCAGTATGGTTGCAGATTGAGTTGGATGTATTGTAGAGGATCACAGCAATGCTGGCTCAGTAGTTTGCAAGTCTGTGCTAATCTACACAGGTCTGGTAGCGTAAGATGATTCAGAATCAGTTGAATAAGCTAAATAAGACAGGGAAACCAAGATCGTCAAGAGTGAAAAGCAGTGATCTATCTAATAAAGAATAAAAGTGTCATACATTTTATAACCATATTTTCATACAGTAAATAAAACATTCAACAGAATTATCCAAATGAGAAGAAATCATATGTCTATATGATTTGACTATAGTTCATTTCAAGATTGTTCAAAGTATACTCAGCTCATATTGCCTACTCATTTTCTTAGGTGCAAATATACATTTTGGTAATCTATTGAATAATACAATTTGTCATACTCAGCATTTACTGAACAGCTACTATGTGCCAGACACCAGGGACAGAAAACAAAGAGTGTCCATTCTCAGAGTGCTTACAGTACAGTGGGGATTGGTAAGGACAATGATATGTGTTAATAGCTTTGACAAAAAGAAACAAAGAATGCTACGAAAGCCTAACACAAGACACAAGCCTGGCTCCAAAGTGAAAGTATACCTGTCCAGGAATACTCAGCTCTAATGGGTCAGGGGCAAACTAGGTGAAAAGAGAATATAGTGGTAAAGACTGTGTTACAAAAGCCTCACAGAGAAGCTTGGATTTATCCTGAAAGCAATGAGGAGTCCTGAAGGATTTTAAGCTAAAGAGGAACACGGTCAGATTTGCGTTTCAGAAAGATCATTGCAGGGGGTGCTACTGGTAGCAAGGAAGCAGGAAGAGAAACCAGCCACAGGACTAATGCAGAATTCTAGGAAACAGGGAATAAGGGGTCTGCTTAAGGCAGCTGGCGGTGATGATGGAGCAGCAAACAGATACAAGAATTATTAAGAAGGCATAATTAAAGAGATTGTTATCTCTAATTAAAATTATCTGCTTCAACTAGTCCAAGATTTGTTTTTTTCTTAACAGTTGGGGGCTTCTAAACTAGTTTCAAAGAACTACTACTTAAATAGCCTAATCTGAACTAAGAACTATAAAGAAAAAAATATTAAATATTTGCTAAATGTCAAAAATCTTATTTAGATGAGAGGTTTTTTTTTTTCTTAATGCAACATATTTATCTAGCTAATCTTTTTGTTTTGTAATTAACCTAAATGCTTTCCTTCAATTTATTTTATTTTCTAGGCTCAGTATTAATTTCAGGTCAGAATTTCACTGTTTTAAGCCACAATATCACAAAATGCAGAGTAACAACAACTTGACCTTACAAATAAGTTTAAAGAGGGCAGCAGAATATCCCTTACTCCTGATGTTTCTTAGTAATTTTCTACCCACTGACTCTCCAACCTGCTCCTTGGCTATTCATTCCCACTTGCCCATGCTGTTGAGCTCAATCCCTCTCCCACACTGCAAAACCCCATTGCAGTGGTCCCTATACCTAGCATGATTGAGTAATTTTTCTCTAACAAATCTCATCATCCAGATACACCTGTTGACGTGTAAAATATTACAGACAAAAAACAAAAATTTCAAACGAAAAGTAAACCCAAACCTTGAAGAAAGGTCTAATATGAAAAGTTTCTTCCTCTCTACACTCAGTTCTAACCATCCCTCTCCCCGAAAATAAGCAATGTTAAAAGTTTTTCTGATCTTTTCCAAATAAATGTATATAAAATTCTGTTCTTGAATCTGCACTAAAAGAATGATACTATATACACCATTGAGCAACTTGCTTGTCTCATTTAATGAAGTATCTTGTAGATCTTTCTATATCTGCACATACAAATCCACTTCCTTCCATTTCATAGAAGTGACATAATTCAACTAGATTCTCATTGATGTATTTCCTGCTTTTTTCCTATTACAAATAATACTGCAATATCATTGTGTGTATGTATTATGCATATATGTTCATCTTGGCAAACTTTGAAAATACATTCTTATAGTAAATTACATACATTTAAAAGTTTTGATGCAAGTAGAGAATTGCCATTCAGAATGTTCACATCAATTTATATATCCATAAAAATTGTCTGAAAGTACCCTTTTGTTTATATCCTAGACAACACTGGTATCGAAACTTTTTTATTCTGGAAAAAAAAAAAAGGAAGAAAAGGTATGAAACTGCTTTTATTTTTCTTTTCTTCTTAACTATAGAAATATAACAGTTTCCGAGGGGAGTTGTCAATACATTTCCTTCTTTCCTCTTGGTCTGTTCCTGGACTCTATCTGTTCCATTTATCTGTATGTTATTTCTCCCATATCAACAGTCCTCCAAGTAAAATAACTAAGTTTTTTAAATATATGCGTTGGAATGCCATGGATTGTTTGGATGCAAATGAGAATACCCCTCTATCACTCTTCTTTGCCAGAATTTTCCTATTTTCATATTTTTAGGTAAACTTTTCAATTTAAAAAAAATTCTGCTTGCATTTTAATTGAGACATCATTGAATACACCGATTAAGGTAAACTGATACTTTATTGTATTTTCCTACTTCAAGGCATGTTCTAATTTTTTAGCAAAAGTAAATTATCTACAAAGGCTAAAGTATCTATGACTCCTCTCGACTTATCTGGCTGTATACTGGAGTATCCTGAAGACCACTGGCTGAAGGGATAAAATGCACATCTCTTGGTGAAACCCAGACAGCCCTCTATGGCGCGGCAGAGAAGACTACACACTGCCAAAGACAAGGAGTCCCAATCACTGTCACCTACATGCATGGAGCTGTAGGTGCACTGAGGCAGCCCTGAGCCTCCATCCAATTCCACTTCCTGCAGCTCTCCTATCAAATCCTATGTTTTGGCCACACTGAAACGCTGGAGATCCCAAACAAGTCACAGAGTTTCACTTCTCATCTTTGTACCTTCTCTTCCCTTTGCCTAAAGTGTCTTCTGCCCTTCATTCAAATTCTATGTGTCAAACATTTTATCAGGTCTGGATAAAATTCAATCAACTGTTTAAAATGTATTTGCTGAGTTTAAATTTCTATTTTACAGTTTTTCCAAGTGGGTAAGAATCAAAGAAGCGATTCACTCTCCTCCAGATGAATTGCTCCAGTGCTGCCACAACAGACCCTCCTCAGAGCCCTGAGGTGCAACACTGTCAGTATCTCATGCTCTTCTCTCTCCCCAAACCCACCTTTCCCTTCATCTTTCCTCCTTCCTCCCAGTAAGGGCCAGATTGTCTTCTCCAATCTGTGAAGCTTCCTTTCCATCACATAAGGTCTGGGTGGGATCCTGGTCTCAAGGCTTAAAGACTGAATTACCTTGGACACTTAAATTCATCTTTATGTGGCAACTTTAGCTACTTCACAAGACGTACCATGGCATTTTAACTGTAATATGTTGGAGAGGCATTATGGTTACTATTACTATAAGACATTCAAGAGGCTGTCTTATTGTTTCGTGAAAGTTAAGCTATTTGTGTTATTATCGTGAAATCCAAAATACCCATCGATTTGGAAGCGGGATATCTAAGATGGTTAAAATTTGAGTCTATAAAGTATTCTTAAAAAGAAAATTGATTATACATTTTTAACCACACAGTAGTTTTCAGTGGGAGACAGAAATAAATGCTTGCCACTAATCACACCGCCAGGAATATTTTGAAACTAGTAGGGAGAGATTTTGGTGTCACACGGCCCTGGAATGCTACTAGCATTTGACATCTGGTAGCCTGGGATGCTAAATATACCTTGGAAACACCCCAGTACGGACACACTGAAACCAAGACTGCAAACTATGACACAAAAAAAAGTATTAATAATTCCAAGGTAAAAGTACTACCTGCCTAGACCAAAAATCACAGTTAGGAGAACAAAGAATAGAGTTAGTAGAGAAAAAAAAAAAAATGACACTTAGAGAAATGATGAATTAAATGGAATAAGCACTCATCTCAGTCTTATTAATATTCTTATTTTAATAGCAAATCATCTTTACCATAACTAGTATAAATTTAAGCATGTATTGGCCATATTTAAACTGTGTAATATGAATTTAAGTGGAGCGTTACTTATTACTGTTTTTTGTACTTGGTTATTGTTAATTAGCAATATGAAAATATATACTTAATAGTTTATCTAGAAACACTAAAGTCAATCCAAAACAAAAGCAGTGAAATTAGTTAAAACACTATTTTTTCTAGTTTTTCCCAAAATTAAAATATACAACACATCAAATTATTTATACCTTTCCAATGCTCAATTACCAATGCTGAGTAAACAATATCTAAAGATTAAAGATTAAAAATCTATACTGTATATCCAATATTGCTGCTAAATATTTTTGGCTTACCTCATAAGGTAGTTTATCAAAATACCCATTATTTGGCCCTTCCCTGAGGACAGCACTGCTAAACTTTTTGTTAAGATTGTCCATTCCACAACCATCCTTTTCTTCATAGGCATCATCTTCTATATCATTCATGTCAATAATTGAAGTCTTGAGAGAAAGCACTGGCTTGTCCTTCACACCATGTAGCACAACCGCATCTAATTCAGTGTAATAATCCAGAAGAGAACTATTTACTTCCAGTCGTATAAGATTTGTGGGAAAATTTATCTGCTTAATACAAGGTTTAAACTGGCGAGCTTGGGAAGCATTCACCTTCGTAGGTCTCTCTGACCAAAGAATCTCCCATCTGCCAAAAAAAGAAACTTCCCTATAATACAGTTTAGAATGAGATCTACTGGTCCCTTAAGGTTACAGCCCCATGCCCAATATGTCGCATTGTGAAACGAAGTCATCAAAATAAATAGAATACAATATAATTATTGTTCCCAAGATATAAAAAACTTTAAGAAACCAAATGCCATAGACCTTATTATTTATTTGTATAAGTCCCCAGTCCTTTTTTGTACATTTCACATTGATCGGTTTAAAAACTGGAACATATAGATAGAGGTATCAGAAGAACATTCAATTTTACAAGGTAAGCAAACCCAAAGTAAGAATAAAACATACAAAGATAAAAGCTCTCCTGTGTGCATGGCTTAAACCAACTGTGGAAACTCAACTGATCATTTTGCTTCAGCTTTTCCATTTCTGTCACTAACCTCATACAAACTAAAAACTTTGATATTATCTTTTTCTCTTTATTTTATCAAATAAGTTTCATGAAATTTTTATAGAAACTTTCTTACATATGCCCTTCTCCTAAATGTCCATTTTTGCCATCTTTAAGTCATCCTTGTATCCTCAGTATCTAGCAAATATCTAAATGCATAAAAGGAGGATAACATTCCCCTAACCCTTCAAATGAACTCCTGCTTCTCAGCCACATTAATCGTTATTTTCCACGCAACTAACTAATTTACACCTTTGTGTCTTTGCTTGTGTGATCTTCCTCCCAATGAAATGCCCAACCTACTATTAAAAAATACTTCAATTATTATCTTTCCCCATTCCTAGTTACTTACTTTAGCTAGTAAAATTTTTTAATAAAGATTTTATATCAAAGAATAAGAATATTTTTGTTTCTCAATACACACTACAAACTGCTTTCAAATAAGCTTATGCCAATAGTACATAAGAATAATCACTGAAAGCATTAAAAATAATATCTAGTTTCATAGTGAGCCATATCTCCTTATGATGTAATTCACAATTCACTGATTACTAATAACACTTAAAATTTTTTAGTATCTTTATTAATTATATGAGATTTTTTTCCACCAATAAATTGTTCATTTATTTTCCTAGTCCAATGACCTACTGAGATCTAAGTAAAAACTGATAATGGCAAAATATACAGGAAACTGAAAGACAAAAGAATGTGAAATTCAAGGGAGATATCAGAGCCAAAACTATAGAAGCCAACAACATATGGGTACTCCAAATGTTTTTAGGCCCAGAAGGGGCCAAAAAAAGCATATAGCCGCAATCTTGGAAGAATGGAGAGGGAAGTATGTACAATTTCTACCTTCAGTAATAAAAGCATTAGGCTGAAGCTCCATAGGAATTCTAATGATCATATTACTAAGGGAATCAGGAAACACAGAATAGGGAACTTTAACAGTAGGGACTTTTATTACAGTTTCTAGAACCTTTAAAATCTTATATTTGTTATTTTTACTGATTCTCTTCTGAAACATAGTAATGAAATCCATCAAATAGAGAGTCTGTGAGTATTTGTATTCAGAGGCAACATTAAAGTAGCAATGGAGAAATTAGTTACACTCTATAACCAATCTTGGAAGGCAGAGAAAGAGTTCCAAAAGATAGAGCAGGCTGTGGCAGGTTTAATGAGGAAAGAGAAGCAGGCTGGTACCTTCTTCCAGTGACAAGGCAGAACAATAAACCTGGATTGTCAACCTGAACCTAAGAAGTGTCTCTAAAGCATCCTTCCCGAATCATTTTATAAGACCAACATCATCCTGATAACAAAACCCGGCAGAGACTCAAGAAGAAAACAAAACTTCAGGCCAATATCCATGATGAATATAGAGGCAAAAGTCTTCAATAAAATACTGGTAAACTGATTGTAACAGCACAGCAAAAAGCTTACCCATCACAATCAAGTAGGCTTCATTGTGGGGAACGCTCCCGTGTGAGACCCCTAAAAGGAGTGAGTCTCACTATATGGTGAGTTTGATCCCAAACACAGTTTCCTACTGGAGGCAGTCGAGCTATCCGGAATATAGGAACTGAAAGATGATTGATCAGTTTCTAATATCAACCACAATATCTTTTGGGCCTAAAACTATGCGTTGCTGCTAGACCGAGTGACCCCCTACCAGCAACCAGTTGCTGCTTTTTAACCTTTTTTATGACTCTCTTTTAAGAATAAGTTTTAACCTTTTCTTTACTTACCTGACTGCCTAATGGTTTAACTGTCGATATTTGCAAAGCAAATGCCACCATAAGGGATGGCTTTGATTCCTGACTCAGAGATTCCTGAATGGGGAAATTGAGTTAAGTTGAGTTAGGAGTAGACAAAGGAGAATCCGGTTAAAGGATATTCTGATGAGCAAAACCAGAAAAACTTTTCACATCTCAGTTCTAAAACAAGATCAAACCGGAGATACCTGCAGCCAGGAGGAATAATGTCTGGATGCAAACAAGCTTTGTGATTACAGGAAATTCTGTTACTTTTTACAACCACTGATTGTGTATCTGACTTTTCAATTGTATAGGCCATGTGAGGCATACATTTACATTCCTCTTGCTATGACGTAAACCAGAGCCAAGAAAGTGTATTTATTCCTGGCATTTGAAAAATAAAATTTGCTGTTTAGGCACAGCCTATCAGCCCTCCAGACGCCTCGCTTTCTCTCTCTCTGTCTTTATTATTTTCTCAGGCGCACTCCCTCTTCCAGGTATTGGGACCCTCTTGCAGGTCGAGAGACCCCCGGGCAGACGTGCCTACCTGTCCGGACGGTCCACGACACTTCATCCCAGGGATGCAAGCCTGCTTCAACATAAGCAAGTCTATAAACGTAATTCACCACATAAACAGAACCAAAGACAAAAACCACATGATTATCTCAATAGATGCAGAGAAGGCCTTTGACAAAATTCAACAGCCTTTTATGCTAAAAACTCTCAATAAACTAGGTATCGAAGGAATACATCTCAAAACAATAAAAACTATTTACAACAAACCTACAGCAAACATCACACTGAATGGGCAAAAACTAGAAGCATTGAAATCCGGCACTAGACAAGGATGCCCTCTCTCACCACTCCTATTCAATATAGTATTAGAAGTTCTAGCCAGAGCAATCAGGCAAGAAAAAAAAAATAAAGGGTATTCGATTAGGAAGGGAGGAAGTCTAACTGTCTCTATTTGCAGATGATATGACTGTATATTTAGAAGACCCTATCAACTCAGCCCAAAATCTCCTTAAACTGGTAAGCAACTTCAGCAAAGTCTCAGGATACAAAATCAATGTGCAGAAATCACAAGCATTCCTATACACCAATAACAGACTAACAGAGAGCCAAATCATGAGCAAACTCCCATTCACAACTGCTACAAAGAGAATAAAATACCTAGGAATACAACTAACAAAGGATATAAAGGACCTCTTCAAGGAGAACTACAAACCACTGCTCAAGGAAATAACAGAGGACACAAACAGACAGAGAAACATTCCATGCTCATGGTTAGGAATAATCAGTATCATGAAAATGGCCATACTGCCCAAAATAATTTATAGATTCAATGCTATCCCCATCAAGCTACCAATGACCTTATTCACAGAACTGGAAAAAAACACCTTAAATTTCATATGCAACCAAAAGAGAACCTGCATAGCCAAGACAACCCTAAGCAAAAAGAACAAAGCAAGAGGCATCACACTACCTAATTTCAAACTATACTACAAGGCTACAGTAATCAAAACAGCATGGTACTGGTACAAAAACAGAGATATAGACCAATGGAACAGAACAGAGGCCTTGGAAGCAATGCTTCACATTTACAACCATCTGATCTTTGACAAACCTCACAAAAACAAGCAATGAGGAAAGGATTCCCTGTTTAATAAATGGTGTCGGGAAAACTGACTAGCAGTGTGCAGACACCTTCCTGACACCTTACACTAAAATTAACTCTAGATGGACTAAAGACTTAAACATAAAACCTAACACCATAAAAATCTTAGAAGAAAACCTAGGCAAAACCATTCAGGACATAGGCATAGGCAAGGACTTCACAACTAAAACACCAAAAGCAATGGCAACAAAAGCCAAAATAGACAAATGGGACCTAATTAAACTCCAGAGCTTCTGTACAGCAAAAGAAACAATCATTAGAGTGAACTGGCAACCAACAGAATGAGAAAAAATGTTTGCAATCTACCCATCTGACAAAGGGCTAATATCCAGAATCTACAAAGAACTAAAACACATTTACAAGAAACAAACGAACAAACCCATTCAAAAGTGGGCGAAGGATATGAACAGACATTTTTCAAAAGAAGACATATATGAGGCCAACAAACATATGAAAAAATGCTCATAATCACTGGTCAATAGAGAAATGCAAATCAAAACCACATTGAGATACCATCTCATACCAGTTAGAACGGTGATCATTAAAAAATCTAGAGACAACAGATGCTGGAGAGGATGTGAAGAAATAGGAACACTTTTACATTGTTGGTGGGAGTGTAAACTAGTTCAACCATTGTGGAATACAGTGTGTTTCTTCCTCAAGGACACAGAAATAGAAATCCCATTTGATCCTGCAATCCCACTACTCGGTATATAACCAAAGGAATACAAATCATTCTATAATAAAGACACATGCACACGTATGTCCACAGCAGCACTGTTTACAATAGCAAAGACCTGGAACCAACCCAAATGCCCACTGACAACAGACTAGACAAGAAAAATGTGGCACATATACATGATGGAATACTATGCAGCCATAAAAAATGATGAGTTTGTTTCCTTTGTAGGGACATGGATGAATCTGGAAACTATAAACCTCAGCAAACTGACACAAGAGCAGAAAATCAAATGCCACATGTTCTTTCTCAAAAGCAGGTGATAAACAATGAGAACACATGGACACAGGGAGGGGAGCATCACACATTGGGATCTGTTGGTGGGTGCCAAGGGAGGAACAGCAGGGGGCTGGGGAGGTCAGGGAGGGATAACATGGGAGAAATGCCAGATATAGGTGATGGG